ATATGAAGCAATTTTTCGTTTAATTCATATGGTATTTTGAAGTTATCCTTTAATTTTCAATTGAACACTTTATTTATAAGTTTCTTATAAAATTGAGCGATTCTCCAAAATTAAACGAATGTAGTTCTTAAAGATAATTACGACGAAAATTACGAAGAAAACTGTTTTGCTAATGCAAAGGTTTTTAAATAGTACCAAATTATAAGAAAAATATTTTGTTTATAAATTGATTATTAATTATATTATAATTGAAATCATGACATAACAATTAAAAAATTATAAAATGTAACTGACAGGTTTCGAACAGTAGTGAATTGTAAAAACGAAATTTTTAGTTAATTGAATTTTTAGCTGACCATACAGCTGTTTCGAGTAATGGCTGTTTCTAACGAATACTCCATCCTTGTAAATATTTCCTTCTCCTTCCTTCTCATTGTCCCTTCCTCCTCAATGCATTAGGCAAATCTGCTACGCAGATGATTGTCTCATCTACATGAGGTCGAACTTCCCCAGTTGAAACTACATTGAGCTTAACAATTACCTTAGGACTCTCTCTGTTTACTACGTTACTACGGTAAGTGGAAGATTAAGATCAATGCCCTAAGAGGTTCCGTCTTCACGACAGCCCTTATGGGCCAGTGTGCTGATCGCATTTGGACCTTTAAAAGGTGTGCTTTGGATACTGTCAAGATATCGGAAAATATAAGTCCGAGTGCAGTGCTGTTCGAAGACTTTTATGATTTTTATATGTGCGGGAGAAATTTTTTTGTACCTGTGGAGATTTTTCTTATTTTTGTAAATTTTCGTGAATTAAAATTGTAAATGAAAGGTACTGAAGGAGATTAAATAAAAAGATTCAAGATTTTTAACAATTAAAAACAATACATATCCTTGTTTAAATAGTGGTAATAAATTAACATATCAATGAAATACGTGTGATGAAATTAATCGAGCATAGGTGTTCCAACACTCATTTATAATAATTCCAACAATCATCTGCAATACTAAAAAGTTGGACTATATGAATAACGGCAGCCGAGACGGTGAACAGGTATTTAAAAAGTGACCGCAAGTAAAGGGGAAGATAATCGAGTCCACATTTGAAAAGATCTTATAAGCAGTACAATTCCTACATATTTTATTAATATATTAAAAAAAAATTGATTTTAAATTTAAAATTTATAAGAAAAATTTTGTTTTGAGGACATTTGAGGAAATCTTGAACACAATAATACGAATCAATTAAAAATTTATGCATATATATATATATAATTTAGTTAAACATAAGTTAAGAAAAGAAATTTAAATAATTAAAAACATATTTTTTTGTTATGATATAAAACAATTTATTTTATAAATAAGTAGTAATTGAAGTGAATTTAAAAGCAAATGTTGTTTAAATCAATATCGGTAAATGAAATAAGTGCATATTATTTTTATACAATATTAAAGTTTAAGGAAAATAATTACTTATAAATTACAAAAATTATTGAAAAACCTTAAAAGAAATTAATTTATATACCATATATATGGTATATAAATGATATATAATGGTTAAAAATACATATAAAAGCACCACAACATCAAAGAAAATTTCCATAAACTCAAATAATTTAGAGTTTCATTTGTTTCAAATACATTTTTTTTCTTAAAAGTTTCAACCAAAAACAAAGAACATACATATATATCTCGAAAAGACAGATTCTTTCCATATGGGCGAAAGAGATTGCAGACCAAATAGTGAAAGGCGTACGTGAATAAGGCGCGAATTAGCTGTTTATGGCAAACCAGCTTAACTTTGCAGTTGAGCTGGTTGTATAATTATTTATATTTTTAACGTCTAATCAATGAAATAATTGGAATTGTCTAAGCGGCTTGTTATGATTGCAGTCACGTCATGGCAATTGTTGTTGCTTTTAATGCAAAATGAAGTGAGATGCTAGTGTCAAATTTTCATTTTGTATTGAAAGCAACTACAGAGTGTTGGATGGCTTTCCTTCGACACCGTATGGTTCGAAGGTCTGATGCACAAACTATGCCACTTCGGCTTCCTTACAACACTCTGTAGTGTTATCCACCAGTTCCTTTCTAATAGATCCTTTGACAGGTAAGTTCGAGAATACTTCGTAAAACCGAATACGAACAGCACTACTATAGAATACTATTTGTTTCATAAAAAAATGTTTGAAAACCTTTCTGTTTTTAAAGAATCCTTATTATTCCATTAGCAATATATATTATGGACACATAATTAAGAAAATATTGGGAAAAGTGTACATAACCTTCTTAAAATTTATTATATAAAGAAATATTAGGGGTATTCAGGATGTCTGTGCATCCTTGCAAACTCAAATAATCGAGAACACACGTTGTGCATATTAGTCTTGAAAATATTTAGAACAGATGATGTTTGTTTACGTATTTATTTGCTTGTAAAATATAACTCAGATTCGATAATTTGGCATATAATAATTTCCACTAATGCCAAAAACAAGTGAAAAGCAGAATACATTGACATTGTCCGACATTGTTGATGGTAAAGTAAATAAAAAAAGAAACAATTGCACAAAATCATAAAATTACAAAATAACAAAATCAAAACAAACTTAACAGTTTCGCTGAAGTATAGAGTCTTCAAAATCAAATATGCAAGAGGTAATTGGTGTTAAAAATATTGTCTTGAATATTGTCTTGCAAATCAAGTGCAGAATTATAAGAAAAGAAATTGTTTTTGTAAAATCAAATAAATTTGTACATGCAACGATGCACAGACATCTTGAATACACCTATTGTACATTTTTTTTTTTATAGTTTTATAGTCTGTAAATAAACAGTTTTAAGATGCCTTATTTTAATTTCTGTTTGAAGTCTAGCACTAAATCCATTTTAATTTACATAATCCTAACCTCATATAAGAAAAAATTTTACAACATTTTGTTCTAAAAGCCTAATGTGGAAGTTGTTTGTCCGAATATTATTATGTACAATATACACTATTAAACATGTCATTTCAATATCAAAGAACATATTTATTGCCACCACTGTAAATGACTGTTGTCAAATGACAACTAAAAAACAAATAAAGTAAATGGGAGAAATTACTTAAATTTAAAAGTAAAGTAAATTATTTAACAAGGCACTCCAATATACAGAGGAAGAGCGTCAGATACGTAAACAAATATTAGCACATTACTCAAAGGTGATACCAACAAAATATTTAAATTGTGAAATTATTGAGAAAGTAGGATTATAATATGTAAAAAAGGCACAAAATTCTAATAGTTGACGTATTGATTGTATAGTGATTTGAAAGATTAATAACCTCCATTACGAATATTGAAACTCCAGCAAGAAAATTCCAGCAATATTAGTCTATAAATTTCATTGTTAACTATAATCGTCAGTTGATTAAGTTTATTTATAAGAAATTAACAAATAAAAGTGTTAACTGAAATAGGCCAACGATTCTATTGTATTATCTGTTGTTGTTGCTACTGCTGTAACCAAATGCCCATTTCACAGCAAACACACAAAAGGTTAACAAGACTTGGTATATGGAATGAGATGAGGAAGAAAGTATAAAAACACGATGTAGGTACCGGTATGAAAGTTGTATTTAACATGGGTCCAGGTGAAATGCCTACACTTGTCTATAGCAGTTTTGTAACTTCAAAATATCTTGATATTATTAATAAATTTAAATTTTGTTATTACTAGAGAGCACCTAGTCTAAGTTTAATAAGAATTAAGCTGTTTTTATATTTTTCACATATATGAAAGTTTTGTGTAATATAGTAAAGTTAGTACCTTTTAGGTACTAAAAAGATATCGGAAAACATATTCCCTATGAGTTGAATAATATAAAACTTTATTTGAATAATCCGATATTATCCAACATAACATATCTGCTTCAACATAAAAGAGTCTGTCTGTTTTCGAGGGATAAAAATGAGAACATTTGTAAAAATATTCAAAGTCAGTTCTTTATCAATTCAAATACTGAAAAACGGAAGAACTGACAATATGATATATATAAATATTAATATATTTTCTATATTTCACCCTTAAGTTCCTCTGGAATGAATCACATACCATATTTACTTAACATGAACCTCTGCCAAACAAATTGGTGTTATGCGAGTACCACACTGTCTACATATTCTATTATTGAAGTTTTTACTTCATTATAAACTCAATTAATGAGCAGCGATAAGAATAATTTCTAAATAAAATGAATAGTTCTGTGTCAATCGCAGAACTATAAGTATAATAGTGTAAAAGTATAATATATGCATATGTTTACGGTTACATGAACTCAAATTGAAAATATATAATTTCAATCATTATCACAAAGTATATACCGAATTAGTCTTGTTAAATAATAAAAATAATGTAGCTCATTATTTATTATTTAAATGAATAATAAATGAATACTGAGCACAAATAGTGCTCTAAACAATATAAGAAATAGGTGTGAAAACAGTCTAATGTGTATACTATGAAGATTCTATCTCTTTATATTATTTACCCTCCTTTTTATTCACCTAAGCTACTACCTAGCCACACCTAAGTATCTATATAAAATCATGATTGTAATAATTTCATTAACTAATTAAACTCAAACTAATTTTTAATTAAAAAGAAGTCAATAAAATATTAATTTATACTTATAGGTAATGCTGCTTGTAAATCCTACCAAAGCTGTTACTGTACCATATACAATTTGGAATATCATGACATCACGCGGCTTATTGCTTATTGCTTACAGCTGATTAGGTCTATTAAATTATGCGATATGGAGTCAATGTCGTCACTAAAATACTAGACCTGTCGGATTCTGTATCTGATGTTTTTTTTTCGCATTTCATACGAATTACTAGTGCGATGGATGTTAAAAAACTCATTGATGAAATCGAAATTTATTTGACAAAATGTATGCGATAAAAAGAAGGAAATTATTTTTAATCCATTTAAATGTGGGCTTAAAATTTCGAATTTAGATAAAAAAAGACTTAAATAGAAAGTAATATTAACGGGAAGTTTAACCAAATATGCAAATATATGTTACAACCTCTCTAATGACAAATGAAGAGTGATTGTGAAAATAAAAAAGAACAATTTAATTTACAAAGGAAAAATGTACCTATATTTGTATTTTAAAATTTATATACAATATAACAATAGTTATGTCTCATTTAGATATAACTGAACGACATTACTGACGGTATTTTCTTAATAAAATAGAATACCAGAAATAGGAAAGTCACCAATGTTGCAAATTCGATTGTCCATTAAACTAGGGTTCTATCAATTCTGGAAAATAGTTTCGTCGCTTATTATGGATTGTAGAAAGTAAAAATCTTTTCTATTATAAAAAGTATAACCGAATATGAAGCAATTTTTCGTTTAATTCATATGGTATTTTGAAGTTATCCTTTAATTTCCAAAATTAAACGAATGTAGTTTTTAAAGATAAATACGACGAAAATTACGAAGAAAACTGTTTTGCTAATGCAAAGGTTTTTAAATAGTACCAAATTATAAGAAAAATATTTTATTTTTAAATTGATTATTAATTATTTTATAATTAAAATCATGGCATAACAAGTAAAAAATTATAAAATGTAACTGAGAGGTTCCGAACAGTAGTGAATTGTAAAAACGGAATTTTTAGTTAATTGAATTTTTGGCTGACCATACAGCTGTTTCGAGTATTGGCTGTTTCTAGCGAATACCCCATTCTTTTAAATATTTTTAATGCTGACCTACCCCTTCCTTCACAATGCATTAGGCAAATCTGCTACGCAGATGATTGTCTCATCCACATGAGGTCCAACTTCCCCAGTTGAAACTACATTGAGCTTAACAATTAACTTAGGACTCTTTGTTTACTACGTTACTACGGTAAGTGGAAGATTAAGGTCAATGCCCTAAAAGGTTCCGTCTTCGCGATAGCCCTTATGGGCCAGTGTGCTGATCGCGTTTGTACCTTTAAAACCTCGGAATAAACTGTCGTATAAAAGGTGTGTTTTGGATACTGTCAAGATATCGGAAAATATAAGTCCGAGTGCAGTGCTGTTCGAAGACTTTTATGATTTTTATATGTGCGGGAGAAATTTTTTTGTACCTGTGAAGATTTTTTTTATTTTTGTAAATTTTCGTGAATTAAAATTGTAAATGAAAGGTACTGAAGGAGATTAAATAAAAAGATTCAAGATTTTTAACAATTAAAAACAATACATATCCTTGTTTAAATAGTGGTAATAAATTAACAGATCAATGAAATACGTGTGATGAAATTAATCGAGAATAGGTGTTCCAACACTCATTTATAATAATTCCAACAATCATCTGCAATATTAGAAAGTTGGACTATATGAATAACGGCAGCATTATACACCGTTAAAATAATGAAATACCGAGACGGTGAACAGGTATTTAAAAAGTGACCGCGAGTAACGGAGGAGATAACCGAGTCCACATTTGAAAAGATCTTATAAGCAGTACAATTCCTACAAATTTTATTATTATATTAAAAAAAATTTGATTTTAAATTTAAAATTCATAAGAAAAATTTTGTTTTGAGGAGAAATCTTAAACACAATAATACGAATCAATTAAAAATTTATGCATATATATATATATATATAATTTAGTTAAACATAAATTAAGAAAAGAAATTTAAATAATTAAAAACATATTTTTTTGTTATGATATAAAACAATTTATTTTATAAATAAGTAGTAATTGAAGTGAATTTAAAAGCAAATGTTGTTTAAATCAATATCGGTAAATGAAATAAGTGCATATAATTTTTATACAATGTAAAAGTTTAAGGAAAATAATTACATATAAATTACAAAAATGATTGAAAAACCTTAAAAGAAATTAATTTATAAACCATATATATGAATGATATATAATGGTTAAAAATACATAAAAGCACCACAACATCAAAGAAAAATTCTATAAACTCAAATAATTTAGAGTTTCATTTGTTTCAAATACATTTTTTTTCTTAAAAGTTTCAACCAAACACAAAGAACATATATATCTCGAAAAGACGGATTCTTTCCATATGGGCGAAAGAGATTGCAGACCAAATAAACAGTTTTAAAATGCCTTATTTTAATTTCTCTTTGAAGTCTAGCACTAAATCCATTTCAATTTACATAATCCTAACCTCATATAAGAAAAAATTTTACAAGATTTTGTTCTAAAAGCCTAATGTGGAAGTGTTTTGTCCGAATAATATTCAGGCTTATTCTGAATACTCCCAGGGAAAAAACTCCCTATTCCCACGCTGTTCCCGAACACACAGCTCCCTTATTCTGAATTGCCTGGGAGACAGCAGTTCTGGGAACAACAACAGTTTCAAATTTGTTTTGTTAAATTTTGGCAACCATGCATTGAATTGCATTACGAATATTAGCGGAGGATTTGGCTCAAGAACATGAGCAAGAAATTTTGAAACAGAGGATCAATCGGAGAAACTTGAGAGATGCAGCAAATCCACTTGAGCTGCCTAATTTCTTGTAAGTACAAATGTAAATTTAATTTGGTTTTAAAATAAACTTTTTTTCATTATAGATTTCAAAAATATTACAGAGTAAATAAACTAGCGTTTATTTACATGTTAGAGGAACTTACGGAGGAACTACAACTAGCAAAGAAGCAGTTTGCAGTTCCTCCAATTGTGAAATTGAGCGGTTGTTTTCATTTCTTTACTGAAGGAGCTTATCAGACATCAGACATTAAATATCACATTAAAATATATTCGAAAAATTTATTATTATTGGTTATTTAAATGTTAAATTTAACTCTTTTCTAAATTTTTAACTAATTAAAAAAAACCTTACGTTATGATATCAATTCTTCAATGTCTTTATTTTCAAACATTCACTGCTTTTATATAAAATTTGCGTAAATGATAATTTACTTTTTTTATATAATTAGGATAGAAATGTCCTTCATGCTTCAATTAATGAACTAATAATAGTTTATACCTGTGCAGATCTTACAATAAAAAAAAAGCAATGTTTTACCTGCACATAATTGCAGTTTATTTTAACTTATTCTAGGAATCCATTTATTTCAGAATTTGGTTTCCTTTCATTTTTCTATTGTTTTAAAAACAATAGTTAACACTTTAATTAGTGGAAAAAACCCGTGTGAATAAAATAAATAAATAAAAATTTAAATATTTCAAATTTGTTATACTTTTATTAAAATAATAATTTTAATAAAATATATTAAATGAAAATTTTGTTATATTAAATTTATTAAAATATATTCGGAAAACTAATCAAAAAATAAAACTGAAAATATTGAATTTATTGTAATAATTTTATTATAATAATAATTTTAATAAAATATATTCAAAAAGCTGATCATTTTCAGTTACTTTTATATTAAATTAAACCATTTTTAATACTTTTTTAACTTGTGTCCCCAACAATTTGGTAGGGAGAGAATTTGTGCAAAATTAGGAAAAAACTCCCATTCCCATGCGATTCAGAATAGGAGAATTGGGAACAGGGAACAAAACTCCCATTCCCAATTTATTCAGAATAGGAGAATTGGGAACAGGGAACAAACTCCCATTCCCATGCGATTCAGAATAGGCCTGATTATGTACACTTGTGGCGAACTTGCCACACACACACACACACTGCAGCGCCCTCTGTGTGTGAATGCACACGCACTCGCCCATCTGTGGGCAAAAGGAACATTTTTCAATGAGCAGCTAACTTTAGTAACTGGCGACTGGCTTCCTTCTTCTTCCTATTTTGCACGTTTTAGTAACACAACGTTTTTATCGTCTTATAAACATTTGTTATATTTATTTAAAATAAAGTATGTGGCAACGAAGCCACATAATTGGTGACCCCGACGCAAATTAAACACATAATTGGAAGCAGCGCAAGTTATTCATTTATTTCATAAAGTCAAAACAAACTTGCACAATGTTGGGTGACGCAATGCTGAACAAAGAAGCAGAAATGTCTAATGCCGACAAAGAAACAACAGCAAAGTCAGCAGCAGCAGACACGAATTTCACAACAGTAAAAAACGATATTGATGCAGTAAAGTTAACGAATTTGCCTTCATTTTTGCAAACTGACCCGGAGTTATGGTTTACTCAAGTGGACGGATTACTACACATCAATCGCATCACCTCTGATCTATCCAAATTCTACACGGTAATCACAGCACTAGACGGCGAAACGCTTCGTCAAGTTTCAGACATAGCAAAAAATCCGCCAGCTACGGGCAAATATGAAACGTTGAAAAATGAATTAATTTCACGATTTGGGGAGTCGCGTCAGAAACAATTGATTAAATTGCTGACGGATTTAGACGTGTCTAACAAGCGTCCAACGCAGTTGCTTCGAGAGATGAGAGATCTGGCAGCGTCAAATATGTTTGAAGACGCCTTGTCAGCACTTTGGTTGCAGCGATTGCCTAGTAACATTCGTTGCATCTTATCTGCGTGCAGCTCCAAGGATGTTAATCAAATGGCCGAATTGACAGATAGAATAACTGACAATATGCCCACTCCTCATTATGTTATGGCTACCGCATCTGCAATTAACCGACGCAGTAACACAGAGGAATCAACATTGGAGGCGCGTGTGACAGCGTTAGAAATATCTCTGCAACAAGTGGTAAGTAAACTAAGTGAAATAGCAATAGAGCTCAGGCGACCAGCAAACTCACAGGGGCGAAGCAGGGCTCGCAGTTCTAGCAGAACTCAGTTTAAAAGTCAGCGTGAAGATCGAAAAGTCTGTTATTATCACATTAAATTTGGAACAGCTGCAACAAAATGCTTAAAACCATGCGAGTTCGGCTGCCAAACAACTGATATCAAACAAAAGGAAAACTAAAACCGTTGTCGTCCACAAGTGCAGTAAACGACAACGCGCTGGAACACTGCACTGAAGAAGCTCGTTTACATGTAATTGATCGTATCTCAAATATGAAGTCTCTAGTTGACACCGGATCGGTCGTATCCATTATTCCTTTAGCAGCAATCACAGTGAAACGCAACCTAGTGCCAGATGATCTAAAATTATTCGCAGCAAATAATTCATTTATTAAAACGTACGGTACTAAGAGACTTAATATCAATCTTGGTTTACGACGCAATTTCAATTGGAACTTCATTATAGCAGACGTCAAATGTCCAATCTTGGGCGCAGATTTTCTGGCGAAATATGGTC